TGTAGTAGTAGTAGAAACTCAAAACTTCGTTTTCTCCAGCTACTGAGCCCTATCTCATTTGCCAGGTGAAAAAAAGCTGTCTCAGAAAAGCGTTCATTTTTGCTGTATTTATACATTTTAAATGTTTTATAGTTTTGGTGACCTTAGAAAAAGTGGTTTACCAAAGGGTAGAAGCTTAAGGGAAAGACAGCAACGCAGACAAGGGGTGCCAAGCGGGCTCCTGCCAGGTCACCTGGGTCAGGGCACTGACCTTTTTCAGAATTCACCTTTTTGCTCTGATGCAGTGGTCTCATGTTGCTCATCTGTCAGCTAGAGTCTTGGCAGGAAACACAGGGATAATTTGCAGTGATGTGGGCAGGGCTGGTAACATTAATGAGCAATAGTGATACCTGCCAGATGATGTGAAAAATGAAAGTCAGGAATTGCCACAGATGTCTGGTGATGACAGCAGTAACTGGGCAAGTGTATTAGTCTGTTTTTGATACTATAACAAAATACCAAGGTCAGGCTACTATATAAAGGGAAAAAGGCTTATGTAGTTGTTTACATGCTAACTGTTCTAATGGCACAGTGAAGGCTGGCCCTGGTGTACACTGTGGTAGGAATGCAGGAGTGTCTTTCTGTCTGCAGAATCTTTTTCCACCTCCTCACAAAACCACCAGGATTCAATCAGGGTGCTCTAGCTCCACGACTTAATCAGGTCTAATCATTTCCAAAAGATTCCACTAGACTCAGATTAAGTTTCCATATGCTTAATATCCTTAAAAAAGATTCTGAGAATGAAACTTCTGCATGAGGGACAGCCCATTTTCAGAAGGTAACAGAAACAGGCCCCCTACAGAGCTGTGCCTGTAGACAGGCAGACCACACCAGCTAGAGGAGATGGGGTGGCTGTTAAAATGCAGAAGGCCCGGTAAGCAGGAGGCATTCAGAGGGAAGAGTGGAGGTACCCTTGTGCAGAGCACAAGCAGATTTTCTATCCCCAGGTGCCAAGCTCTTCTCTTTTCCCTCTAGCTTGACATTGCCCATTCTCGTCTTCAGAATAGTCCTTTTAGTTTCTCAGGTCAAGTGCTTGGGATGAGGTCAGTTTCCCACCCCCAAGGCAGTCTGTTATCTTCCTCCTGGAGAGCATAACATGCAGGCTGTGTGGGTACAGCATTCACAGTGTTGTAAATAAATTACAGAATTAGATTTTCCTACATAGAGCTGTCACATACATACATATGTAGACAGGGAGGATGCAGAGCTGCAGAAATTTCTTAAAACAGACAAACACTAACCACTGGTTGGTTTGGGCTTGTTTTGTTTTGTTTTTTGTACCAGGGATTGAACTCACAACTTCATGCTTGCCAGGCTCATGCCACTAAGCTCAAGCCCAGGCCCCTAACCACTGTATTATTAGGTGTTTTTTTTTTTCCTATCTCTTCCTTCCCTATATAATTTAGAACAAATAATTGTCCATTTACCTCTTCTAGGTGCACTCTGTGTACCTTGAAATATATCACAATTTTTTTTCCTCCTTGAATTCTGTTTGCCTTACATCCTGAACTTACTTAGCTGAAATAAGCAATAAATTCTTCAGCCAGTTTTCCAACTGTATGTCCCATGGGATAGGGAATCAGGCTCCTCCCACCCAGTTCGTCCCAATCCAGGCGATTCTGCCACATTTCTTCCCAAACAGCACAGCTTCGTGCTTGTCAAACTGATTTGTGTTATAAGAAAAAAGGTTGTGTTTTTGAAAATTTTTTAATCTCTCTTGACTGAATGGAGAGAAGGGAAGATAACGAGCATACCATGAATTTAATTTGAAGATAAATACTTTCATGAATATTATTTTTCTTAAAATAAGATCATGAAACATTATTGAGTTTGGGTACTGTCTTAATTATATATTATTAAAACAAAGGAAAATGCTCCCTAAGCCCAGCCTAGGGGTGGCAGGAGCACTAACCCAGGCCTCATCACTCTGATAGCAGGGATTTGTAATGCTCCAGAAGTCTTTGTGATGATCCTGCCCCACTGAATGCTGAGGTGGGCCTCCCTCATTTTGTAGTTGAGTTTGGAAGGTCCCACACGCCTGCCCAAGGCAACTCGAGGTGTGGGGCTCCACGGCCAAGGCTGGAGCTCGATTTGGTGCCCTGACTCTGTTTCCTCTGTGAAGAGGGGTACAGGGTGCCTTCCTACACCCAGGGTGAAAGTCAGCTCACAGCAGGGCACACAGACCCTCCTGATCCTTCACCAGTCTCCTGGTCTAGTCTTGTGTCCCCTTGTCAGTTCCCGGTCTTTTCCCTGCAAGGTGCCTGGCTATGAACACTGTCTCCCCCAACCCCCCTTGTCTGGCTTGTAAGCATTTATTCATTTTCAAGCCCAGGTTGTTAACCATCATCCCTTGATCTCTTCCTCTCTTGCCAGGTACCTTTATTTGCTTACTGTTTTATCCAGCTAATATTTGCCCCAGGCTCCAAAGGGAGGGATCTGTACCAGGGGACCCATAGGGAGCTTGCTGCCTCCGGGGGAGCTGATGGTCAGACAGTGTGCCCAGCAGCATGCAGCCAGTCTAGGGGCTTTGCCAGGATCTGCAGAAACTGGTGGAGGATGGATGAGCCCTGCATTGGGGTTTCTAGTCTGATAGCTCCTCCTTTCTACCATAGCTCTGTGTTCCCAGAACCTGAGGCCATGAGGTCTTGCCCAGCACAGGGGCTCCTGACCCTAGGGAGGTAGTGAACAGTGTTGTCCTCCCCTGAGCCACCAAAGGAGGAAGGTTCAGCAGGGCTGTGGACAGGTGACTGGAGTGTCAAGATAACATCTCAGGGGCCCATGACACCCTTTTTCCAGAGCCAGAGAGGAGGCCCACGGGGTGTACTGCCCAGGGACACCGAGCTCGATGGAGCCCAGAGGGTATGGATTGCCTCATCCCTGCCTCCCTAGGGTGATTTAACAGGAAGTTAAGAAACCTTCCAGAAGACTCTGACTGATGCTGTGGACAGCGCTCTGGCTTTCAGAAACAGGTCAAAGATGTAACTATCTCTAAAAAATCAAAGTGTACCCATGAAAAGAATGCTGGTGGGTGCCTCAATTTCTAGGTTCAGGGTGAGTGTCAAGCAAATGAGTCATGCTGGGGTTTGTTTTCAATGTCAGCCAGAAACCCCTGCTCCTGATTATCCCAGGGCCATTGTGAAAATGTTTGGTCTTTATTAAAATACGTACTTTCAGTTCCTGAGCAAATATGTACTTTGTGAATTCAAACTCTGTACTTTAGTACAGTGATAGCTTGCCATGTTTAAATAAAATGAACCTGCTCCTGATTTCTCCAATATCCTTTTTTTGTCAATTTTGGTAGATCCTAGAAGGAGAACTTTATTTTACATTCATTTGAGTTGACTGCTTGTGATATAAACTGCTTTTTTCTCCTAAAGGGCCTGGACCCTTGAGATTATTAAAAATAGAAGTAACCATTATAATTTAAGGAAAACTATTCAGGTTATATGGGCTAACTCCCAAAAGTTGTATTATTCTATATGTTATAGCTAATTTAAAAACCCAGGTTATATAAATGAAAGTTTACATCCAAAATGTTTAAAATCCTTTTTTTGCATAGACTATTTATAATTTCTGCTAGGGATCTTTGTTTATATTTATGAGATTCTTTTATTCTATTATTAAAAGTAACAGGCTATTGAAAATGTTTGTAGAAGATATTCAATATTATAATATAGAAATTTCTATTTGGCTTTCTTCTTAAACTTTTTTTGAAGAAAAAGTAATGCCCAATCCATTAAAGTTTATTTTAAGTAGAATTCTCTTCAGAGATATTTGTATTATTCATATGCTTGGAAATACAAACCACTTTTTAATAGTGTTCATAGTATCATGTTTTTAGTAGAAAAGAGAAAAATTTTAATTATTAAAGTCTGTACAAATTATACAATTTTAACTACATAATGATTAAGAAAAGCCTTTAGAAATACTTGAAAAAGGTCTTTTGTCAATTTTATGAATTTTTGTAATAGCTTTTTTATTATAACACTGTTGATGGAGTAGTTTACTTTCCAGGCTTAATTTAAGAGGTACTCAGAAACTCTTCAGTTAAGTTAAGCACCCTCACAGGTGTCTAAGTCTCATCATCAGCATGTTATTTCCATTCTGCTGAACTTGGCTTCATTAGTTAACTCCTCCTCCCCCCCCACTTCCTCTTTCTTCAGGAGCTCTCTTTTAGAGACATAGCTTTCAGTGTATTTGGTTCTATCCATCTGCTTTGCTCCTGGACAGTTCCAGGTGCCTGCAGGATGGTGATCCTGAAGCTTCTAGAACCAAGAAGCAGCACTGCTGTAGGCCAGCTCAGAGGAGGAGGAGCTACCTCTGGCCCCACTGTGCCAGTGTCTCAGTTACTTTTCTCATTACTGAGACAAAATAGCCAACACCCAAAGTTAAAGGAAGAAAGGTTTATTTAGCTCACAGTCTATAGAGATTGGTTTGCTCCAAGGCAGGGCAGCATGGTACAGCGGCACCACAGAGGAGAAGGTCAATGGAAGGCAAAAGACAGCAAAAGCAGCAAACAACAAGTGACAAGCAGTGACCTTCTTTCTGTCCTTTTGTCCTATTCAGGATACCAGGCAGGTAGCACTCACATCCAGGTGGGGCAGCCTTAATCCCAGCACCACCCATGAATCAGTCCCAGAATCACATCCTGTAGATCCAACCACTTCAGAAAAGCCCCACCTATGACCTTGAGCCTTGGGGGGACATCTGGATACAAGCCATAGCAGCCTGTATCACATGTTTTGGAGACAAATGTGCATCCAGAGCACCCATGAGCATTTTGACATGTTAGTGATTCTGGCCTGAGGGCACATAGGATAAATTCAGCTCACTGGGCAAAGAGTTTGTGTGTTGTAACTTACCATGCCATCCCTGAGAACTGGAAATGAAAGTGGTGGTGAAATGCTGATGGGAGTGGAGTGAGCCCAAGTTAACCTGCCCTTCCCTGTTGTGTGTTGCAGAGGCTGGAGCACAAGGAAGTCCTCGTGGGCTTGTTGTTCCTGGTGTTCCCGTTCATTCCCGCCAGCAACCTCTTCTTCAGGGTGGGCTTTGTGGTGGCCGAGAGAGTCCTTTACATGCCTAGGTAACTGCTGCAATGATTCCTCATTATAGTCCTGCCCTCTGTGCCCAGCTTTGACAATGTCAGACTGTCCTTTGCATGATGACAGGTCTCTGAGGAGCTCAGGTTTATGTTATTTCTGCTGCAAAAATAGCTGCACAGAAGCTGGTGAGACCGCATTTGCACATATACACACTCTAGTGTCAGAGGTTCACCCTGGGGTGCAAGCTCAAGCTAAATGGGAAGTGCTGACTTGAGGACAGTCAGGATTTTAGCAGTATTGCTTACCTTACCCTCTTTGTCCAAATGTGTTTTATTAAATATAATTTTCTAAAAATGGTTGTTGATTTGTATAAAATATTATGGCTGGCATCTTCTCTTTTTTCTCTTCCCTGTTTTTTTGTTTTGTTTTGTTTTAATTCAAGTGGGGAATAAACAAAATGTGTCCTTGAGAAAAAAATGATTTAAAAATTATGAAGGGCATTCAGAGATGTGTGCTTCCATAATATCACCTGGCTCTGCATTGGGACAGTGCCAGAGCTGGTCTGTGCTCTTGTTTGCTCAGAGGGTGCCCTTGCAAGGCCAGTTTCTGTTCAGATGCCTGGAAGCATCACTGAGTCGAGAGGCCTCATCTGTCTTGCTGTTTACTGATGTGAGACCTTGAATAAGATGTGAAGCTTTTGCATCAGATTTTCTTATTTTTAAATTTAGATTTTAGTAACCTCCCTAAAATTAACATTTTGATTTATCCTCTTGCATTTTCAAAAAGTCCATTCTTTATTAGTTCTATATAGTACCTTCTGACGTTCTGTAAGTAAACTTTTCTGTAAGGTAGTATTACAAACCAAAATATTTTAAGGAAATTAAACATGCATAATTAGAAATGAGCTACTTGACCTCTAATTCCCTCACTCTGAACCTAACAGCCTGCTCAGAACTTGGCAGGGTGGAGAGCCATCCACACCTCGCTCTTCATGTCCTCAAGCCCATTTGGGAAGGAGGTCATTCCTTGTACACATGACTCGAATATAGCACAGTTCATCAGCTTCTCTGCTACCTGGACATGGGTCTTGTGTGAGTCTGCCCATGGCAAGGAAGACATCTGGCCCAAGCATGGAGGGTGGATGTAGGGAGTGGTTCTGCTTGGCCCAGGGGGAAGTTGGTCCTTCTCTGCAGTACAGTGATTCCAGTTCTGCATCCAGCTGATACCTGAGAACATCTCTGCCGCAGGTGCTGCACTGGAATCTGCAGCTGCAAAGATACGTGAATTTCAGGTCTTTGCTCAGTGTTTATTAACTGTTGATTCACAAAATGAAGCTTTTTTACTCAGTTTAATAGGTTACAATATTCTTTAAGCACTACATACTGTATTTATTAATACTAGTTTACACTAATTATATCCAAACATTTATTGAACTTTTATTGCATTTTGGTCACCATGCCAAGCATGTTGTATTCTTTGTATCTATGTACTGGCATTGCGAGTATACGCTTATAGCTCACCCCAAACACCCCACAGATACTGGCCACAGTGTGATTCCTCTGAGCTTGTTTTCCCCACTGTGTAAAATGGGGATACATCAGCACCCAACTTGATGATATTGCAATAGTGAATCAAAACTTAGAAAGTGTTATACATGGCTGATGAATGTTAAGTATTACTGTTGATATAAACTGGTAACATTGTCATTATTTTACCAAAATGAAGTCAGCTCTGAGAGGTCTGAGGCTTGGCCAGGGCAATATAGCTCACTTCATGTCCTGGACTATTGAGCAGATCATACTTCCTCTCATAGGTACATCTCAGTGTTCTTCTCCTGTAAGAAAAAAAAAGAACATATAAGCATGCCAAAGTCATTTCACTCTGGTCCATTTGATGATGCAGCCTTGATACATCCAAGAACACTGAGATCTGACCTTTGGGACTCTGGCATTCCAAGTGAAAAAGAATAGCCTGTGTGGCAGGAAGGTTCCAGTGTAGGGTGCAGGAGGTAACTTGAGGAAAGTGAATGGATCACCCAGCTTTGGGGAAGCTTGCAATAGCATCTTATTTAATGGACTTTCACCCAGGCAAATAAGCTCCCCTAAAGCTCCCCAGGACTGTGCCAACTCTGACTCTTCCTGTGCTCCAGTGTCTCCAGTAACCTTCTCTGTAATGCATGTGTTTCTGCTAAAAATGCATACGAGAAAAGCAGCATCACCTCGAACAAATGCCTGCCTCTGAGACCAGTTTGGATTTGCTTTATTTGGCCAGTTCCATGAAGATACATACAGAATCATCTTCCTTGGGGTGATCTTCATTACAGAGGTCATCGTTTCCTTCACAAGTTCTGTGTCTGTGCATTGCAGCGGTGTTGCTGTCACCATTTTCTGATGCTTTCTTCCAACTACTCAGTGACTCCTGGATTCATTTCCATATTGCCCTGGGCCCAGTAGGCTGCTGAGCTGGCAGAGCTGGACTCTCAGCAGGCCAGAGTCCTGTGATCAAGGAGGTGGAGGTGCTGCCCTCCCCTGCGGGGTGGCCTCGGGGCTGATGCCAGATCAGGTCACAGTTCTGATCAGGTCTGAGCGTTGAAGGTGACCTGGAAGCCTGATGGTCCTTAGATGGGATGTTGTGTCTCCAGGCACTCTGGTGTTTCTTCACATCCTCACTCCCACTGCACACCAGTGAGGAAGCGGTTTTCTTACGGGCCTGGATTCTGTGCCCAACCAGACAATGCCACAGAAGCTGCCTTGGCTGAGAAAGAAGTGGAAGCCTCTGAGGAAACTCATGTGCTCTGGCTGTGGAACGTGTCTCATGACTTGGCCAGCACCATTTTGTATGCTTTGAGTTTTCTTTGACAGTAAACGTCTGTCTCTGAAAGATGTTATCTGGCCATGGAGAGTGAAGGACAGTGGGGCCGAGAGCAGCTGAAGTCCTCGCCCAGGCCAGAGAGAACGTTACAGATGCCACGTGCCTCTCCTAGAGCTCATGGCGCACTGAACAAGACCTGCCCCACTGATGACCCCACAAAACTTAGACATTTGCTTTGGCAGTTCCACTTGTTGAACTCAAAGCCTTGAGGATCCTAAGCAAGCACTCCACTACTGAGCTACACCCCAGCTTTCCCGAACTGTTGGGCACATGGGACTCTTCTCTTTACCTTTCATTGTTGACCTGGACAAGAACAAGCCATTTCTGTTGTGCTAGTATCCACCTTTGTTAAAGTACAGATAAGTCGCACTCAGTAACACTCCTGAAAATACAGACAGGTCATCACCTTCATGCAGAAATTGTGCTGGCTGTGAAACTTGAGTGTACAATAAGAAGATGGAGTGCAAAGGACCAAAGGTGGAGGTCCATGGTAGGGCACTGCTTAGCATGTGCAATGCCCTGATTCAGTCTCCAGCACCACAACAAGAAGCAAATAAACAAAAAGCACACTCAGCTTATAATTCTTCTGAAGAAGACAAACTTCCTCCTGCTCATTATGTTTGTTTTAAGCTCTTGCAAAGCTTTAATGTTCACAGAGCACTATCCAGCCCTCCTGAAGCCCAGTGGGGTCCACCCGGGCACTGATGTGGCCATTTGATAAGAAAAGCCCAGCCCAAATCAGATAGCGGCACCCTTCCACCTCCTGCATTTACACCTAGCAGGGAAGAAGCTGTTTAGTTTTGACTTCTGCTGTCCTTCCATCCTAACCAGGAAAGTTCCTGAAAGGCAGCTTCCTCTCATTTGAACTTGGAATGTGGGGAAAAGAGGCAGAAATCAGCAATTTTCTTAGTCCTGCCTGGCTCTTAGGGTCGGAGTTTTACCATCCAAAGAAATTGGAATGGTATTGTCTTCTGGTGGTAAATGTCAGGTTTGTAGGTATCTTTTATGAACAAGGAGAAATGGGGGGCTGAAACCCTTCTTTCATAGAAATTTTGCTCTCATTCTTCCCCCCAGAGAATCATATAATTATGACTTTTTTTTTGTATTTTATGAAAGCCACATTTTTTATAAGGCTTCAAAGAACTAACATTTCTTAGAATTGGTGAAGCAGAAATAGTCAAGGAAAGCTCTTAAATAAAGTCATAGAAAGTAATTGAATATTCACCTACCTGCCACATTAAGGGTGATTTATTCACTTCTGTGTCAAAGAGCGAATTCCTAAGCTAGTTGAAAACTTGAATGGACAGCGCAGAGGAGTTGACAGAAAAATTGAAGGCGGAAACAGTATTTGAGGTTAGACAATATTTGAGGTTAGAGGTAATAAAAAAATAACTGAGGGCACAGAAGTTCAACAGTATGAATCTGAAGGGAAAATGAAAGTAGAAACTGCCCCGTGCTCTTAGAAAAAGATGCTTTTGCTCTGTGGAGCCCCAAAGCTCACATGGTTACATTCGGCTTAGAAAAGGGTGAGATTTATTCCTCTTTAAGTTTCAGAGATATCTTTAGATCCTGTTCATTTGAAGAGGAAATTCCAAATTTAATTCGGGGTTGCTGTGGATGCGATGCTGTGGTACCTGTTTCTCAGATGTCTGGGGCAGAAAGATCCACCGTGGTGAGTCACACTCCTCTAGTGTGTGGCAGCCTGGCCCATCCAGTGACCCCATCCAGGCACAGCTCTGCTCCTCCAGAGTTGCCACAGGAAAGTCATGATGATTTCAGAGTGGAAAGTTAAATCTGCATAGTCTTAAAAATTGTGAGAGTGTATCTTTTCTAGATTCTTAGTATCTTTATCATGCTTGTGGGCAGCTCTCTAGCTGCTCCTTCTCTCCCACCCACCCACTCTTAAAAATCTTAATGGTTTCTTAAATCTCAGTCTTTGAGGACCACATTGCTGCGTGATCGCCAAGGGCCTCATAGCCCCACACCTTAACTGCGTTCTGACTCAGAACAACTTGCAAAGCCAGGATTTCTCCCCATAAGCCTTCTTCCACAGTGGTTTCTGCATATGCGGTGACAGGTCTATCCGTGTTCAGCAGGGCAAGTTCAGGACATGCTCTGAGGGACCAGGTGGCAGTCAGGGCACAGCAGTCTGGGCCCCCTGGGAGGGCTG